AGTAATTAAAAGTTCACTAGGCACCCAAAGAGTTCTTACGTCCGAAAAATTGAACAAAAACGAGAAACTATGATGTAAACGAAGCTTTGAAACATTTTATGACAACGAAATTATTCAAATTGACTTCACGACAATCATTTTAACAGAAAGGGGCTAAAAGCCTCCATGCCGTAAAACCAAAGGACGCAACTGCAAAAGATATAACAGTTATAAGAAATACAACACAACTATCTACATCTATCGTAAAATCTTACACAGATTGCGATCATTTTGGACTGCCTACAATCGGTGGGTTCGGCTTCTCGCCATATTCAGTGTGTCTGTGGATTTCTGTGAAGACGTCTCTTTTATAATGCCATGAGGGGTAGAATACTTGTGTCGGCGTTATCTGTTTTTGGTTAGTTTGCTCTGGATTTTTTACTGTCACGGGCGGTCTTTGTGATCTTAGTCCTTTTTCGTTTCAGATCATTTGTCTCGCTTCTTTTTTTTATAGAGCTTGCATTCGAAGCACTTTAGACTTTGGCGCTGTTTTTTACGGTACGACAAGCAAAGTCCATTTAAGTAGGTTAAATATTTTTATAAACAAGTGCTTAAGACGATGATGTCTAGGTTTTCTTTCGGATGTGTTATAGATGTTGATTTTTGTGAGCCTCTTATGATATTTAGAATTGAAAGATTTGCGATAAATTTCTGAAGGTCTGAGAAAACTTCAAAGTTGTAGGACAAAAGAAGAATTCTCCATCCACCCTCAGTAGTAAACCTGAACTTTCGCGAGGCTATAAATGAAATATGCCAGAATCCTTACTTTGTTTTGACGGATGGCTCAAAAACTAAAGAAGGCGTGAGATGTGCCTGGTTTGACCCCCAATTCTGTATCCAGGAACTGTTCAAATTGCCACACGACTTTGAAATTTTTACAGCCGAATTAATTGAATAAAGAAAATTCTAGAATTCACTATAGAAAATATTATAGATATGGAATCGCTAGTTATACTATCTGATTCACTAATTTGTATAGAATGTATTAAAAAAAATTACCCTCAATCAAAGCCAAATTACTTGGTAGCTCGAGTAGTTGAAATAGCGTATAAATTGCAAAGGGATTAGGGTGTTACGTATTTTTGTTGGATTCGTGGTCACTCCGGAATCCATGACAATATGGATAACCATGCTAAGCGAACCATACAGGATGGTATAGGTCTGGAGCTTCTGACCCCCAGCTTCAGATTTTAATTGCCAAATGAAAACGCACAAGACTAAAGAATGGCAGACCTACTGTGACTTCGTTCCGACTAAATTTTATTTCTCTATAAATCCAAACCTGAGGAAAAAGCCGTGGTTTACAATGACATGAACAGGCAGGACTCTCGGACAATCGACAGGCTTAGAAGTAACCATGGCATATGTGGAGTATATCTTCACAGAAACCATGTACTTGATTATGATCTTTGCGAAAATGTGGAATATCAGAGGATCTTGAGCATCTCATTACGACTTGCACCAAATATGCAAATAATAGAAAAACACTGATGGACACCGTTTACGATTTAAGAACTTGGAACAACCAGTAAATTAAAATTCTTTCTTAGGCTTTGAGAGTTCAGAGGTTTATGAGGCCATTCTGGCGTACCTTCGGGCTGTTAATATACGGATTTAAGGCATCATCGTTGGACGGGTGAGGTCTACCACCATCCTCTGGGGTGGTCGGCTCGGTGGTTGCCGGCGGGCTGTGGGAAGGGGTTCCTGGGCGTATTAAGCTCCGTAGGTCGGGGAGATGTGGACTTTTCCACGTATCTCGATATAGTGGTTTTTAATCGCATCTCCGATGGACCTCCGTGAATATTGCACAAAAGGTAAGCCTTCCTCTTCCCGAGGGTTGTCGGTTGTGGCTGAGCTGAGCTTCCTGGAGTAGCTTGTATATGCATCCGTCCTAAAACTATCTTTGGCCAATGTCTGAATGCCACATTCAAAAAAAATCATTTGTCATCTTCACGCTTATTTTCGCCATTAAAAATGGGATGGAAGAAAGACGAAACGCGCCGACAGACTAAATAGCGAGGATAGGCAGACAAAACGAATGACCAAACTACTACTATTAACTGACTTGATCTTTCCATTTATTTTAGCAAGTAAACAATTTGTAGCATGATTTAAATTGTTTAAAAAATTTATTGAGCCCAGTTATGACATTTTCGAGGGTGAGTTTAAATAAAGCCAAGATTTTCCGAAGAACGACCATCCATTATTCAGAAGATTTCTCTTAGGTTGGATCTGTTGTTTTGCTTCCTGTTCGTGAAATTCTTTCGGCTTTAGCTCAGAATCTTAAAATGCGGTCCTTTTCCCAATTCTGACAACGGCCGAGTTCACACCTTTGCTCATATTTCCACTCGAAAAGAGGGATAAACCACCAATACCGAACTGTGACTACTCCTGTTTCCAAGGGGTTCGGCGTCTTAACCGTCCTGATAATTTGCCCCTTGATCTCGTCATGTCTTCACCACTCCTGCTTTCCGTTTCTGTGAAACTGAAACACACGTTGTACAATCTCCCGTTGCGTGGATAAAGTGAAAGCACCGCCGCCAATAAGAACAAGCAGATGAACGTTTGAACTATTTCCAATGCGAATGTCACCAAATTAGGCATTTTTAAGGCGATTTTGTGAGCAGTCGGTCATCGGTTCGTCTTAATCTTCTGAAACACCAACGATGACGGATTTTTGAATTAAGAACATATGTTATTTTTTATTATTATTTATTATTTTGTTATAAGTCGCAGGCTTTTTATGGTAGAATTACATTACCTACTGAGGTTTTACAAATTGAATTATAATTTAATCATAAATGTGGGTGTGTGAAGCATTTAGTGACCGTTAATTAATGATTATTTAGAGATCGTGAGATGCCGTCTGGTGTGATGTAGGTTTAGAAAAACATTTTGACTGAGAGATGGCTCGTATAGACCCCGCAGTCGTGGGTTCAATTCCCTCCGTCGCCTCTGGCCTTTTTTTCACGATACCCTTCCCCCCAAAACGACATTTAAACAGCATAACATTATTGTCTGGCATTGGCTAATATGCAGAGTACATAAAGCCATTAAAAAATAAATTCTTTATCGCGCCAACGTTTCGATCTTTATTGAGATCGTCTTCAAGTCCTGGGCCTCAACACCAACACCGTACACTATCACTAATAACTAGGGCTATGATTTATATGCAATAAAAACAGACAGGTATGCACATATATATGTAAATATTTGGCAAAAAATACAATTTAAAACTGAAAATAATGCGAAAACTACCATGAGAAAAATAAGGAAACCTCAAATTAAAACACATAATTGTATTGAAAAGAGAAACAGTGGCAAGAGGAACATCATATAACGAACATTAAAAAAGAAAAACACATTTAAAAAAAAAGGTAAATTTAGAAAATCCGTCGTCTCATCGAGACCCAGATCGGTCCATTGTTGATGAAGTCTCTGATTTTATGGAGTGTTTCATTATAGGTGGGATTTCCTGAGGGTACTTTCGTGTGGAATGGTTTTCCCTGTGTATTTCTAAAAAAAACCTTGAATTCAGGGTGGCTTAGTTTATGGATGGATATGTAAGCTCAAACTGAAGCACGACATAAATCAGTATCTAAACCGGACTTTCCAGACCCAGCCGTGTAGCAGCTTGTGTCACAAAAGTTTGTTGAAACAGACTTCCTATCTTTGTTTTCCTTTTTTTTGCTGTATTTACCAAAAACGTGTAGCTGTCGATACAGGTTTTTCACAACGAACACAGTATAAAACGTTTTCATCTCCCTTAAAAGTCTCACTTGAAAACTCACGCACATACTTTTGAACAAGATCTTTCGTCTTTGTGATGACTTTCGGCATTTTAGGAGTAGGCAGTTCACCACACACAAATAATGTTTCATGATGGAAAACGCAAGAGACTTTTTTATAAAAAGCTTGTATCGTAAATTCAAATCTATGAATGCATTTAGAGTTGCTGGGGCACGTTTGTTAAATTCCCTTACGTGGCATATTAGGTCGGCCCACCCCTTTGGTCTTCCAGGCATGAAGCTTTCAACTTTTTTGGAAACAATCCTTGATTTGATCAAACCATCTCAACAAGATCTTGTTACTATTCTCTTTTTCTTCACTCTTGTATACTATTCCTTTATACCTACTCTCCTTCATACATATTCAACCATGTTAATATCAAGACATTTTTATATGTGCACTGGTAGGCAGGTACTTCTAATTGTGAATGTCATGTGTTGACTCTTTTGTTCATTTAGCTTGATGCACCGTTGAGTGTACCAGTCGGAAGGAAAATCTTGCCGGTGACGTGGTGGGCAACCGGTGGCTTTCTGACGATCGTCTGATCCGTCAGGAGTCCCGGTTTGTTCAGGCACTCGGTCTAAGGACCAACTCGATGGGAACGAGGGAGGCCATGAGAAGTGCAGACAATAGTTTGCCAGCCGAATGTAGGAGATGTGGGGCTGGCAACGAATCGCTCTCCCATGTGCTGTCCACATGCCCATCGAGTAAAGAAAAGATTATAAAAGACACGACGAATGCGTCGAGGTCCTTGTCGCCGGTCTCCGTGCTTCCGGGCATACAGTTAGCGTCGAGCTCCCTTTATGGACCGACGATGGGCAAACGCTGCGACCGGACAGTCGCCACTAATCAGGATGAAGTACATGTACTAGATCTTGCAGTGGCATATGAATCTAGTGACGCACTAAGCCGTGTTGCGGAGGCAAAGAGCGAGAAGTACATGGTGCTTCGTGACGTGCTTCGGGAGCCAAATGTCATGATGTCATGTTTAAAAGTCAATCAATGTGAAACTTTCTGTTTTAAACAATAACAACAATATATCAATATCTTATCAACAAAAATAACTGTGTTTCTCGTTAAACTTACTGGTGGAAATTATTTTTAGCTAGTCCCTTTCCAACATGTATACAAAATAAACCGTGCTTAGACAGATGTCAATTTTTTTGTTTCAGACCTTTCGGCCTAATAAAAGGTTTTCCCCTGGCACTATGCGCTACTCGCTTCACAAACAGGCCCAGGCTTCATTGAATTCTGGAATAAACCTGCGTTCTGTTGTTCAACTGCCTGAAGGCGAAGAACTTAACGACTGGATCGCTGTTCATGGTACTTTCCGACCACAAGAAATATGTACAAGATCCTTCAATCCTGCTTTTTTTTCAGTTGTGGACTTCTTCAATCGGATCAACCTGATCTACGGGACTGTCTGTGACTATTGCACGCCAGAATCGTGCCCCACAATGTCCGGAGGGCCAAGGTTCGAATATCTCTGGGCGGATGGTGTAAAGTTCAAAAAACCGACGCCACTCCCTGCACCGAAGTATGTCTGCCTACTCATGGACTGGGTAGAAACACAAATCAACAATGAAAATTTGTTTCCCGTATCAACAGGTAAAATTACATTTAAAAAGTTATACATCTGTTTGGCCAGGTTCACTCCATGGACTTAAGATATTTTTATTTTTAAAACTAAATTTATCCTAATGTAAATTAGAGTTATAAGGCAGTGGATGTCTCAATATTCTACAAGCTACTTCATTTCTGACTGGAGCAAAAATTTGAGCCATTCCCTGACTATTTTTTTTCTCAATTTTCAGCCAAATTTGGGGAGAGAATTTTAAAAAAGCTCAAAGAAATCAACACTTTGAAATTTTCATGTCTCTTCTGTTGCACTACTAAAATGATCCATTTCTCAATTGAATCATATCACGTGCGATGAGAAATGGATTCTGTATGATAACAGGAGGTGTACAGGTCAATGGTTGGACAAGGATGAAGCACCAAAACACTTCCTGAAACCAAATCTGTACCCAAAAAAGGAGACTCTTTGGTGGTTTATTGCTTGGGTTGTTCACTATATTTTCCTGAATTATGGTGAAACTATCACAGCAAAAAAATATTGCCAAGAAATTGACAAAATGCACGTGAAACTGCAAAATTTTTGTCCAGTGTTGGTAAACCATAAGGGACCGATTCTTCTTCACGATAATGCCAGGCCACATGTCGCATGCCAACCTTGTGGAAACTTAAGGACTTAGGATATGAAACCTTACCGCACCCTTCATATTCATCCAACCTCTCACCTACAGACTTCCATTTTTTTTTTGTATTTTGATCACTTCTTGAGCGATAAAATTTTTAGAGAATGCAGTGAAGCCGAAAACACCTTCCAAGCTTTTGTGAACCGAAATAAAGATTTTTATGTCAGCAGAAAAAAAGTGCTTGTTACACTTTGGCAAAGATGTATAGATTGTGATGGAAAATATTTTGAATAAATTTTCTTAATTTTATCAAAATTAAAAATAGTTTTGACAGCCTCTGCAAAACCTGCATTATTTTTGCACCAGCCGAATATTGGTCACAAGGTCGTAAAGGTGTGAATTTATTTTATCGTTCCTTCGTGTTGTGGGATCTTCGCTCTAGTGGACCCGGCCTTACATTGATAAACATTTCTAATTATTTTTTAAGTAGTAGTAAATTATTTTTTCTTTTCTTTTACAGATATTCCTTTTCCGAAGACATTCATACCATTATGTAGGAAAATTCTAGCAAGGCTCTTCAGAGTTTTTGTTCACGTTTATATCCACCATTTTGACAGGATTGTTACAATTGGAGCTGTGAGTATTAATTATCAAAACAAACAATGGCAAGATTTAAACATCTTATGCATAACAAATAACAAAAAAATTGGCACCATCAATCAATTGAGTCTTCGATAAATAAGTGATTTAAATTGGGCCAATTGTTTTTAAATGCCTTCCAATACATCATCACGACACATTGCTAAACTCAGATTCTCAGTTCAGAAATGACAATTTATTTCAACAATTAATTAGTCAAAACATATTTTACAACCAATTTTTATTTTGTTTGTTTAAGGAGCCACATGTTAACACGTGCTACAAACATTTCTATTATTTCGTCCGCGAGTTTGACCTCGTCAACTCCAAGGAGCTGGAACCATTGAAAGAGATGACAATAAGGATATGTAAGGACGCTTCACCAGCGCCTGGACGCTAGGTTAAGTTTTTGAAATTTTAAACGGAAAAATACAAATAGGAAATATGTTTTGTACTTTTCCAAATTTATAGGAAAAAGATCGAAAAGCAAGTACAAAAAAATGTTGTTTACGGATTGAAACAAGGAAATTTAAGTATTTATTATTTTTAAATTCTAGTCCTTCATCAACCTTTTCTACAGATAGATATTAAATTTTAAATTGTGAAATTTAATTTTTAAAAAATAAAAGGACAAAGTAATTATAGCATTGAACATGACAGTTATAAATAAGTAAATAAATTAATTCATATCATTTGTAATCAACGAGATATTTCTTTTTTCCCTTTAATTAAAAATATTCCCAGGATTGAAACGCCAAAGATTTGTTTGTGTTTTTGTTAGTTTTCTTCTCATTTTGTAAATTCGCGGAAGTTAAGTTTTGTTAGATTTTTTTTCGGATTATCATCTATTTTATTTTTTCAACAAATGAATAGAATGTAATTATATTTGTATTTATTACTATCGAGAAAACATAAACATTGTTTTTCTTTTCTTGCATGTTATACAAAAAAATAAATAAATAAAAATATATAGCACAAATTGTCACTTTATTTAAAATCCGATGACTTTTAAAAAGTGCAAAACCTGCACATTTCCTTTTACCTTTTTTCTCTTTCTGCTTTTCTTTCCTCTTGTGGTGTCATCATGCGATTATAAATAATTAATATATTATTGTCATTACTGTTTTGTATATTTTATTATTATTATTTTACTATGTTTATAAAACTAAATTTATTTCTAAAGAAGGCTTAAAACCCTATTTCTACATTAAAATAGAAATAAAATGTATGTGTAGCGTTGAACTTCTTAATTATTCAATATATTACACTGCTTCACAAAAGAAGTGGCGCACTTTGAAATTTTGATGTTTTTTTGTTTTTTTTTATGTACTTGCCTTTTCCGTAATAATGACTCCGATATTTTTTTTTTTTTAATTTGGGTATTTAGTTAGTGGGAAAATAAAAATTAAAAAAGAATTACTTTTATATACGAACATAAAACAAACTTAACAATCATTAATAGGGACTGCGACGGTTTAGGCGTTGACACTGGAAGGTAAAGGTCCTGGGTTCAAATTCTTTTTTTTTTTTTTTTTTTCCAAAAACATCGATATCACGAGGGTAACACAGGGTGGTTAGAGCAACAGCGCTTATTAAGCCAAAGGTTGTGGGTTCGAATCCCGCTTTTGATACTAACTTTTTCATCTCGACCAAGACCTTACATAAAAAGAATAATTAATTGAAATAATAATAATGAAATCAGACTAGCAACAGTCTCAGCATGAGTATAGGCTCATCTTATCTTTTTATTCTTCCATTCAAATACTATAAATACTTTTCAATTAAGTAAGGTTTTGGTTGAGATAAGATGAAACCTAATAAATGTAAACTATAAATACTGCAATGCTACATAATAATAATAATAATAAAACAACACTTATTTTTATTGTTATTTTTTTAATTTATTTATTTTTATTTTTGAGGGAGCTATCTTTATCTATTTCCCTTGCTATTTTGGGCATTGTAGTTTATTAACCCGCAATTTGTATTTTCAGTTATTTCATTTTTCCGCAGCCTCAAAAATTCCTGAAAAAGAAATAAATTTTGCATGGAGAACTCTCATTCAAACACTAGCAGGCAAACATTCAAAGATATTAGAATTTGGGAAAAGGCCTATATCTCAATATAAATTCCAATAAATTTAAGAAAGTTGAAAAGTGCTCTTCGAATCAAACACTGGGGACCTAGTAACTCCTTTAAATCACTCGAAAGGTTGAGCCTTTGCCAAAAGGGTTGCAAAGTGAAACAGTCGACCAAAATATGTTTTACAGTCAGAATGATATGTTCTCCACTTTGCATACATAGGGGACAAGTTGAAGGTTGTTGCCGATTAAAAGCCTATTCTGGATTAGTCTGATGTGACCTACTCGCAATCTAGAGTGAACACAAGTTCTTTTCTCTCAAATTTCTCAGTTGGCCATTTATGTACAACTGGCTTAATTTCTTTCGTACTATATCTACAGATATTCCTTCTTTCATTTAATGATGTTTTTAACATAAACGACTATATCTTGGGCAGAGAGGAAATTGATCTATTCTTTGTGGATGGTTTGCAGCGTTCCTAGCCTGATCAGCTCTTTCAACCATGACAAGGAACCCAAACGAATACCACATATTTGTTAAGTGTTTTGATTTCATAGAGGTATTTGTGAATTTTTAAGGTGTATGGGTCAACCGAATTTATTTTTGATGGCTTCGATACTTCGAATCAGAGCAAATTAATTGGCATTACAAATCCCTGCGATTCCTTTATAATGCTCAACGATCTGATTGCAAGAAGTTAAGAGCTGTGTATATGCTAGCCTCATTCCATAAAGACCAGCTGAGGTTGTACACATCAGCAAATATCCCACATCCTAAACCAATTTCATTTTTGGACCCATCAATATGAAAAACTTTATTATTGGGAAAGCTATTTAAAATTCACAAGAATTCTTCCTTGTTCATCAGAGAAGGTGTTTTTCTTTTGTTCAATAATGCCAGATCTTCGATAATCTTGTTGTTCTTTTCATTTTTATTTTCCCACAAAAAAAGACTTGAAAAGAACGATTTCCATCGCACAAGGTTCTAATTACAAAAAGAAAAATAGACATATAAAAAGATAACAGATATTATTTAATTAGGATGTGTACAAAAATATATAAACTACATGTGTGATAATGGAAATTCACAAGAAGGTGAACCTATTGGTAAACTGTTGAAGTTTTTGATGTCTTGACGTGTTTTCAATCTATCTGATCAGATCGAACTGATCCATATATGTTGCTTTTTGTTTAGAAAAATAGGCCTATAGTTAATTTAAAGATCATATTAATTGTAAATGCACGTGTGCTTTTCTATCCACACTTGCCTACTCTTTTGTGTTAATTACTAATATAAGATTTAATGTGTGGTGTTTAGTGGATGTTAATTAATGATTATTTAGAGATCGTGAGATGTGGTCTTGTGTGATGTAAGTTTAGAAAAAAAATTTCTTTATCAATTGCTAACGTTTCAATCTTTATTGAGATCATCTTCAGGGTTCAAAGTGTGTGTTTTAGATGTATCATTGTTATTGTGTCATCACAACACAACACAATGCACGACAATGACACATCTAAACTCACACTTTGCGCCCTGAAGATGATCTCAACAAAGATCGAAACGTTGGCATGATAACGAAATTTTTTCTAAATTTACATCACAGAAGACTGCATCTCACGATCTCTAAATAATCATAAGATTTAATATTTTCATATTAATGCTATCAAAATGTTCAATAACAAATTTTAAAAAAATGTTTAGCCTATAAATCTGACTTATGTGACTATGCAAGGAAAGATTTTTTCTTGTTGAAAGTCTGACTCAATTTGGTTTTAAAAGCTGATTGTTGTGAGCCAAAATTGTAAATTATTAACTTTCAAGGTCCATATCTTCTTCGTCTGAAGAACTCGTGATGATTCTTTTTCGTGATGTGCTCGGAGGAGGTGAAGGTGATGATCTAGACTCATCGTCTTTGTTCCCTTTAAGGTATTGTATATACTTTTTCTTTTCGTTTAGTATGATGGTGAATTTTTTCAACATGACCTCTTCCATTTCATTCTTAAGTCGTACGCTCTCTTCGAATTTTCTCGTAATGCTGTCGAGTCTCTCTTTGAGCGAGGCTTCGTTCGCCTTGAGCGTTTCAAACTCGACGTTGAGCCTTCTGCGCGTGGCTAGAAGCGGTTTGACAACATCCATTACGATCTGGCCAGCGTTTAGCCGTTGCATCTCCACCTTGCCGTGCAGGATGAAGAAGTCCTTCTCGACTGCTTTCGACCAACTAAGCGTCCCAGTCGACGCGTCGAAGTCAAATTTATTCACACCATCTGAGTTGTCGGAGAAGGATTCCTTCAGCTGGGTGAAATAATCCGACGGATCTAGGTCCAAAGAGGTGTAATACTGCTCCGCCTCCACCCTCCCCAGCTTGCCAACGTATATGGACTGGTCGCCGAACAGGGTAACCTCTGCTGCAAGATCTTTCCAGACGGCATCGACCGTGTAGACCGTGGACGTCTTCGCGTCGAAAATATCCGTGAGGGTGGATTCGAAAGTCATTTTGGGAACGACGACCGCCTGGGAACGAGTTTTGTTTACAACTCGCTCTATAAGCTGTTATCTTTGAAACATGCAACCTTCCTTTTATGAAAATTGATGTTGTTGTTGTTGATGATGTTTTCTCAGTTTTTATGGTCAGAAATCCACTAATTTTTAACAAGAATAGCTTTTCTTAAATTATAATACAAGGTTTAATACACTGACAGGCAGAATATTCCACCCACTTAAAATATAACTTGATCTGTATATATTTCTTTTATATTAATCAGCTTCACGTTTTTAACGTTTAATAATTAAGTCTTTGTCTAAAAATGTAAAAAAACATGTAAAATTTGTTTTAATTAGATAGTTAATTAACATTTCAATAATGCGTATTTCCTCCTCTTGCCTTAATTACATCTCGAAGACGCCTCGGCATACTTTCTACCAGTCTGGAAATGTCTCTTTGCTGGAGGTTAGCCCATTCTTCACGAAGAGTCCTTTCAAGATCGTGGAGTGTATCATGAAGGCATGGTCATCGTATTCGTCTTTTGAGGTTATCCCATAAATTTTCGATGGGGTTCAAGTTTGGAGAACGAGCTGCCCAGGCTAAGACCCTGATGCCTGATGGAACGTCCATCAACACGTCCCTAACCAGGCGCAACATCCTCAGCACTAAGTGGCATTTTTAAATTTAAAAATTGAAATTAAGAAAGCAAAGACGAAAACTATACAGTTTATTGCTTCAGAATACAAATGAAACTGAATAAACAGTTTAAATTCCGTAAAAAGTAAACATTGAAAGCTCCTTTCCTCTTTTGGATTAAGGATTATTTACCTCTTATTGATATTCTCAATTTCAAATGATAAAATACGAGTTGGTGGCTTTGGAAAATCGGTACTGCTTCTATGGAGTCCATTAATGCCAATTTCTGGTGGATTGCTTCAATTTGAGAACAATACATTTCGGCATTGATTGGTTCGCCAGAAATGAAGCCCACAAGGAGTCACCATTATCTTTTTTTGGTGTGTTGGCGGCTTTGGAAAATGTGGAGCTGCTTCTCCTTTGTCGGGTCACTGTTCAGAATCTGCTGTCATTGTAGGAAATCCACTTTTCATCACAAGTAACGTAAGTTTCTCTCTCTAAGTCCAACTCTGCTTATTTTTTATCACTTTTGTTTTTCTTAAATAATGAAATTTCACTTAGCTTATAAATTCTTTGCATTTAATTCCGTTTTTACAACGATGAGTGAAAAGAATGGTTGAGAATTTGATTTTTTAAATGTTGTTGTTGTGTATGTTGGTAGACGTGTTCGTTAAACAGGAAAGAAGGCGTGGCTAGAGTAATTAATTTTTCCCTCCGCCTTCCTACCGTCGTTTTCGGTTTAGCTCATAGAGTAGCGGTGCCCCTCTGAAAAAATAATTTAGAAAAATGGCAGAATATAATTTCGACACGGCCCATCTTCCCGAGGCAATACAAGCGATGAAAGAAAATATTCAGAAAAAGGTAAAAATAAAGGAGTGAACTAGGGACGGCAGTTGTGTTTCATGGGAGTGTTTCCAGCAAGAAGCTTGCGCCTTGGCTGAAGCCGAATACGTCAAGTACTGCGCACAGTTCGACGCCTCGCTCAAAGCCCTTCAAGAATTGAAAGCCAGACGGTTTGCCAAAGAAAGTAAAGTATAAAATAAATATTTTCAAAACAAAACCTCAATTCACCAGATGTAGAAATTCCTTTATTTAATATTGTTTAATTGATCTTTTTTGGTGGTAGAAGAGTGAATATGTTATAGTTCTAATCCAAATTGTGAAGGTAGATTTTAATTTTAAGAATTAGTTTGTTTAGTTCTCACAATATTTGCAGAAGCAACATGATTCATTATAACCTTCCTCACAAAAATGTTTTTCTTCTTTATTCTTCCATTTCCCCATTGGTACAAAAAAGCAGGCTGACAGTTGAGCAGAAAAGTTTGAAAAAGGGATTTCAGGAATTCTATGATACCAGTGTAGATTTTTCATCGAGGATTCAATCGGAAATACCTATTTTCTAGAGTATAACACGTTTATATGTTGAATCAGCATTGGGTCTAACTCTCGGTTTTTTGATATTACTCGTTTGGCTTTACGCCATCATCAGTGAAGAACTTACGCACCTAGGGGCAACGGACGGACCCCTCGGTATATGGATGAACACGGACATGATAGATAGATCATGATGATGGCGCAAACCCGAAACGCCCAAATCTCCGAATATAGATGGACCTAGCTAACGTCCACCATCAACTTTTAATTTTATCTAGTCATTTATCGTGTAGGTAAATGAACTTGAACTCCCGATATGGGGATCATAGTATGTACATAGTCTCATGCATGCCATGCTTAGAAGATTCTTCTATCAGACAGACAGAGACAGCAGAAAAGTTCTTTCTTGTAGATCTAAGGGTGTTGGATATTACGACATATGTCGCTTCAGATGGCAGTGAGATGTCCGTATATAGTTCTACTGAGGGAACTGAGTTAAGTTGTTAAATTTCCTCATGGAGTCAATTAACTTGTAGTTGGTTTCCCAGTTCATCGCCGTTTTGGTATATGAAATGAACAAATCTATGCCGTGGTCTTTTTGTCGAATAAGGGCAGCTTCACTATTCGACACCACGGAACGTTTCTGACAGACTATTGACAGCTAGGATCGGAAGACTAAAATTGGAAATGACCAAACTACAGGTACCCCACGGATCTCATGCGATAAAACTGAGTAGTACTGATCTTTAGATCGTTTGAACACCGTCTCCTGCGCTCCATGTTTCCATGTTTAGCAGATTCTTTTTCACCACAGAGTTAGCACAATGGTTCATTCCTGTAGATCTTGGGGGATTAGGATGGCTTTATGATGTGGCATATGTTTCTTCAGATGGCAATACCATGTCTATGTACTGTTTCTACTGAAAGAGACCCAAACGAAAGAAAACTGCCAGTTAAGATGATGGATCTTCGATTATTTTGTTTAAAATTTCTTCAATGTGTCTAACTGTGTCTTTTAGGTCTTCTGACCTAATTTGATAGTGATTTTCTTACATGTGAATTATTCTAGATTTTCTAGCACACAAACCATTAATGTTTTTTGTTTATTTTTTGCCTTAAATTTCTTGGTAATTGCAGAGACGGGCAAATAACACCCCTTTTCCAAACAAGCAACTTTTGTAATAAATCGACGACTCAAAGTTTCCTGTTTAAGCCACGTGAAATTACATGTGGTTTAATTTTCGTCTTGGTGGTTGTTAACTTTGTCTTTTACACGTCTCGGGAAGTTCGATCTTCTGCCCTAAGTCCAAATCTAAATATTTAACAAGTCAGAACAAATAATTGATGGGAGTCGGTGGCCTCAAAGGTTGAGCATTTACTCGACGAATCAGTGAAGTCACCCGGGTTCGAACCTCGTCGCCGAGTCTACGCAACGCAGAGAACTTACAAATTGTTTTTCTCCCACGTTATTAGTGAATTTCTCGTAGTGAAAATTTTAAATTTGTCGTCACATTCTTTCCCTAATTCAATTAGCTAGTGAAGGAAAGATTGTGTTTAATGTTATGTGTTGAAAATTGGATTTTAGATGAACTGAGATCCTCCAAGTTCAGGATCGAAGAGTGTGATAAGTCATCGGTCGAGTTTTACTCCAAGGTTTCTGAATCCAAGGAAATTGTTGAAGACCTTAAACGCAAAATGAGCGAAGAAAACCTAGCACTGCGTGAAAATGAGTTAAACGATTAAGCCTATTTTCTCCTTTTTTAATTAATAACATGCTGACATTTTTCAGTAAAAACTTCAAAGAGGATATCATCGCTATGGCCGAGAGGCTCTGCAGCTACAGAGAAACTTACGTAAACTGAACACCTACACTTTACTACTACAGATTTATTTTATTTTTCTTATTTTTTGTTATTCCTTTCTTATTTAGGATCGGACCATGTTGTCGGAAGAATTAAAAGAGTTGTGCAAAGAGAATCAGTTGATAAGGCAGGAGCTCGAGGATGTCAGGCAGTGTTTGGACAATCTAAAGACACAGTTTCCTCTTTTGCCAGATCCCACTGTCGAGTGCGTATCCAAGAGTCTCTCCAAAATAAGGTAATTTAACTACCCAACCCAATCTCTAAATTTAACGTTTTCAATATTTGTTTTGCTTTGATAGGCCGTGTTTAGAGAGAGAAATCGAGGAGTTAAAATCTCGGAATCATTCCCTCCAGCAAAGGGCAAAGCTGCTGGAAGCGAACAAATCGATTCTGATGATGTAAACGACCAGAGGGGGAAATCTTCGATAATTTTCCTTTTTGTAGTGACATTTTTTAATGTTTTGTATGTAAATATTAAATTTTCCACGTAAACTTAACATTGAAATCATTTCAGTATTTTTTTATATTATTTACGTTATATTGTATTGTATATAACCACAATTTAAAACATTCACTTATTTCATTATGTATTCAATTTCTAAATTTACATTTTTTGTATTGTCATTTTTGAGTGTTAGGTCAATCGAGGTCTGTTTAATTTTGCTGTAGGTACAATTATACTACATAGCATTATTTCTACAGCATCAGTACTTACCCTTTTTCTTGATTATTTAGTAATAACAATAAAACCTGCTTTCCTTCTTCGCGATCCTTTCACTTATCCTTTATCTTCTCAGCATATTTTTTACGATATTTTGTCCGTGCATTTCTTTATTATAAATAATGTACCACACTATACGAAGTACGCAAACAATTTGTACAAAAGATCAAAAGGTAAATTTTATTTTTAAACTAAATAAAACCGGTATAACTTTGAGTAATGGCATATTGTATTAGTTATTGAACAATAGTTGAGTTTGAAAAATTCTGAAAACCATTGTTTCTGGTCGTTTGGTTTGAGACAATGGTGATAAAAACGCTTGATGCGGTTTGATCAAATATCTTGATGAAAACACACCTCTAGAAGAAAAGTATATATTTAATTACTCCAGAATAAAATGAAACATAAACTAGGCCTAAGATTTGATCACGTAGCAGGAGAAATCTGAAGAAAGGAAATGAAAAACAGTGCAAGAGGAAGAAGAAAAGTATGTACCATGGAATGATTGGATAGAGGCACATCTCGTGATAATCCACGAAGAATTGTACTGAATAAACTGTCAGTTAACCAGTTCGAGCTGACGTCTTATGGCTCAGGGCAATTCTAGAGGATTTATTAGATAGAACTATATAAGTTGTCACACATGGAAAACTGACAGATAAAAAAGACGTTTATGATCTTCAGACAACGGGTTAAAATAAGTCTTCGGTTGATTGAGACTCCTTTCCGGGCCAGAGGCATGAGAAAAGTTGATCAAACGACGAGGCATATGGATAGAGTCGGAGCTGCAGACTGCTGCCAGGATACTGCAAATTCCGGAGGCATATGGACATACTCGGAGCCGCAGACTGCTACCAGGATACCGAAAACCCAGATGCATATGGATAGACTAGAAGCCGCAGACTGCTGTGTGAACATTGTAGACTCCGGAGCATATGGATACCTCTCAGAGCAGACGTCTGCTACCAGGACAGTGAACATTTCCTTTTTTCATTTTAGATCCTACAATGCCCCTTTCCTCTTTCATTTTTCTACTTCCACATGCCCCTCCACACTTAATTTCCGTACTGTTAGTTGTTAAAAAAGAAAAATTCCACTCAAAATAACCCAATCTTGACGGGCTACTCGCCAATTCCATAGTCCCTAGCCATATTCGTTCAGTCATCCAATTATGAATCTATTACAATGTAAAAAACCGTCAAACTACTTTATGTAAAAAAAAGGTATGTAAATTTAAAACCGTTGTAATTATTATTACACCGTTCTGTTAAATTGATTATTATTAGCTTAAATTATATATAACTATGTTATTACCTGAACATAATTTGTTCCACTTTTGCAATTTAGTTCTGAAGATGGTCTATATTAGACCGAATCAAACCTGAAGAAATAAATGCCTGTAATGGCAAAGTCTATTTCCCACCCATCATCTTATAGATTTCCACAAAATCAGGATGGACACCATAAAAATAAAGAGTTACATTTTCATCAAGTGCATGTAATTTAATAGATTTAATTAAGATATAAATTTTAGGATAATTAAATTATGCTATTTGACGTGTAGATTAAACAAACTATACAATAATTAAACGAAAATTGAAACAAAAGTTTCATTCTTCTTTCGCCTTCATCAAGTGGAGGGAAGTTGACTAACCTGGCTTATAACAGGTCTCACGGTACTTTGCCTACAAAAACAAAAGCGGTTAAACGTTATCATAACGACTTCGGAGTCATTTATCGTATTTCGCTGTTTATAAGCATTTTCGACCGGTAAGAAGCAGGAAATCCAGGAAAAGAAACTTACGAGGATGGCGTCCGGCCTCGAGAGCTACGTCAATCGTATCCTTTTTCCGTCAAAAATAGAGTTGAAGTTTCGGCACGGCGTTTTTACACACAGTTCACACCACGTAAAATTTCATCTTTTCCTTAATTCTCCTTGAAGATACCGTTTCGGTGGTGACCTCCGACGGGAGAAATTTCGTAGTAAGTCGCCGTTTACTGTTAAATTATGTTGTTAAATTTCATCATGGTATAATTCAGTTCTTGCTGCTTCTGTCTGCTCCTGAATCACGATCAAAGGTAGAAACTGAACTGACGCGTGAACAGCTCGGTTCTTCCTTCCATTTGTGTCCGTTCTCCTTGCAGTTAATGTCGCAAAAGATGCTAGGCTGATAAAAAGAGTTAGCACTTTGCCTTCGGGAAGCCCTTCCAAATTTGGAAGAGTAAATGAAATTGAAAAACTGTTATATTTACAATATAAACCAAAAAACAATAGAGGGAAGAAAAAATAACAGTAAATACACAATAGATCGAAAAATCCGGTCGCCGAGTTAAAATACTACTACTACTATATTATATCTTTATTCTTTAATATACTCTGACAGGCAAAAAATTCCATCCACCATAATATAACCTGATTTGTATATATCAATCGTTTTTTTAACGTTTAATAATTGAGTCTTTGTCTAAAAAAGTAAATTGCTATGGAAAATGAAAAATAAAAAAAGACTGACAGATAAAATTTGTTTTAGATTTTTAATTAACATTTCAAAATTGTGTATTTCCTCCTCTTGCCTTAATTACATTTTGGAGATGCCTCGGCATACTTTCTACAAGTCTTGAAATGTCTCTTTGCTGGAGGTTAGCCCATTCTTCACAAAAAGTCCTTTCAATATCGTGGCGTGTATCAGGAAGTGATGGACGTGCTGTTATTCGTCTTTTGGTATTATCCCATAAATGTTCAATGGGGTCCAAGTCTGGAGAATGGGCTGCCCAGGCTAAGACCCTGATGTTATGCCGTTAAGGTACATTTGTACTATGCGAGCAACGTATGGACGGGCATTATCATGCATTGGAATAGGATTGTCGCTGATTTCATAGAGGATAGGCAACGTATGATTATTTGGAGATCGTGAGTTGCAACCTGGTGTGACGTAGGATTAGAAAAACATTTTCTTTATTGTGCCAACGTTTCGATCTTTATTGAGATCATTTTGAAGGCCTGGGATTTATAAACATTGTTTAAATTACACAAATTCATGTAAGATTTGAAAAAAATGTCCTTCAAAATTCAACACATAAAACAAAAAACATCACTGGCACTCTCTCTATTGGTCCAACTTAACAGTCTTGGGGTTTCTCAATTTGGGCCAACAATTTGTAACGCTTCTCTCCCATATCACAAAATCATAATGAGGTTTTCTGGGGTATTGTCTTCCTCTTTTTTTAAAATTATTTTATTTAACTCTTATGTACATACACATTATGTTTTGCTAATACATACTGATATACACTCAAAAAGTGTGATTAACATGGCATTTGAGGGTGGATCGTGCCCTATGGCAGTCCACACAATAACTGGAGTATAATAATTTGAGAATTAATACCTACGTTTTTGTTTTTATCTATAATAATATAACATCAGGTGGACGTTTGCACTAGCACTTATTTACATTAACACATATTTACAATCTGTCTTGTCTTCCTCTAAATAAATTTTATATTCCACTAGATTTGAAGTCATTCCAATAAGCGGCTGGATACCATAACTTTTTTTAAAATTTTCTAACCACGAAAATTTAAACCACCATATTTTGATTTTTTGGTGTGGTCTGGGTGATGATGATCCATCATTTTGATTTACCTATCAGAGAAATCGCATAGACACTGAAAGCGCAAACAGACCATGGCACTAATTTTTCATCTCAACCCAGTTTAAATGAAATTATAAACCATTGTTTGGCTAAATCGGACAAACTAAGATACATGTTTCTTGGGTTTCTTTTCAGGAACTAGACAACCATCAAACTTATTTTCTTTGGTGGTTGTCTGGTTCCTGAAAAGAAAAACAAGAAATACAAAACTTCAACAACCGTAAAAGAAGATTAAAAAATGTAAAATACATATGAATTAACATAATAATTACTGAAGGATCTGCACTTTGCTAAAAACTCCCTGAGGCCACTTACTGAAGAAAAAAAGTATTCATATATATTTTAGCGGTCATTATTGACCATATTAATTATTTCAATTATTCCTTTTTATCTAGTCTTGGTTGAGATGAAAAATTGCAAAAAGAGAAATTCGAAAGGTTGTAGGTAGGAGATATGGAGATGGTGTCCGAGTGGATTGAATTCACACTACCTCAAGTGGTTAGAGCAGTGGTGTAATTAAGCTGAAGGTCGTGGGTTCGAATCCCGCTCATGACACTAGCTTTTTCATCTCTATCAAGACCTTATATAAAAATAGACTAATTAATTGAAAATATTCGGTATTGATTGTAATGCGATTTACTAAAATTTGCAATGCCATAACCCTTATTATTTTATTATTAGTTTATATATTTTTCAGGGCACACTTAAGGGTTTCGATCAAACTATCAATATAATTTTAGACGACAGTCACGAAAGGGTGTACAGTACGACTCAGGGTGTGGAGCAGGTTGTCCTCGGTCTTCATATCATCCGAGGGGACAATGTGTAAGACACATTTTAACAGCCATCGTTCATTTTAATTTAATCATTTTTGCCCTTTCAGAGCGATCGTCGGTGAAATGGACGATGCAATCGACTCCAGACTGGACTTGAGTTCATTGAGAGCCGAACCACTTGGTCATGCTGTACATTAATAAATTTTAATTATAAGTTGTGCGTGTTGTTCGAATTACCTAAAGGACAGGAATTTTTTGAAAACGATTCGCAAATTTTTTTCCCCCAATTTACAAGAAAATTTTTAATTTGATTGTAATTCTTGAAAAATATATGTATTTTTTATTAAACGTTTGATTTAATTACAATAAATGTTTACCTTTAATATTGTCAGTTATTGATTAGTGTAGCACACGAGGCTACATAAAAACACAGATATTTATGTATTGTAATTATAAGTGACTTTTCCAAATCTGCCATAATCAATTTATTACTAAGACATTTGGTTTAACAAAAGGAAACAAATAATGTGATAAAAAATCTTTAATAAATACCCAACAAGTTTACTCAAAAAAATGTTTCTTGATAAAAATGAAAGCGACAGCAGTGAGGCGTGAATTCAGTCTTCTAATATCAGTGTGACTTTCTTCCTTTACTCGGTTTTTTCGACGTGCTTGGACTCGGTCCTGGAGAAGGGCCGACTTCTATTTTGCCTTCTTTCATTTCGTCTTTGTGAGGGCTGCTATCAACTGTCTTCTGCGCTTCTAGGAAGAACATAAGGTCTCTCAGCTGTTCGCGTAGATCTCTGATCTCCTCTTCCTTCTCGATTTTTTGCTTGATTAAATCCCTCTGGAGGTCTTTGCACTTCTCCTGCCATACGCCTTGGTTTTCCCTCATGGATGCATTCATCTCTTTTTCTTCCTCGAGCTTTTTGGCTGTAGTGACCAGTTTGGCCGTGGTAGCTTGAAGTTTTTTTTCTATTGCGTTTTTCTCTTTTATGAGTGTATTTAACCTTTCCTTTAGTTCATTTTGATCCTTTAAAACCGCATCGTACTTTTCTCTTAAATCCGTTATCTCACTTATGGTTTCTCTTTCAAGAATTGAGATCAACTGTTCATAATAAGCCCTCTGTGATTCTAATTGTGAAGTAAGGAGGTAGGTATATTCGAGCTGAATCGCTTCTAATTTTGCCTCGTTTTGGGCAGACTTTTCAGGATCCTGCCCTTCTACGAGTTTTCCGTCTGCTTTATTCTGTAGAATCCTGTGTACGAAGTTGTCTCCGACATAATCCCAGACGCTATTGCTCCCGAGTTGCATAGAATAACAATGATGCGTTTCTGTGTAGTGTTGGTGAGCGTGTCCTTGGACGTATCTGCCACAGCCGACGTGTCCGCAGATCAAGCATATCCAGAGCGACTCGGTCGCTTTGCACTCTAAACAGAAGCTGTCTTCATCTGGCTCGGGAGTTTGAATGTACCGGCAGACCGGGCAGGTGGTGTCGCCCCACTTGGAAAGGCACTGTCCGTGAAAAGCGTGATTGCACATAATCGTGAGAATTCCATCGACAGACTCGTCCATCCTCTCGAGGCAGACGGGGCAAGTAGGCAATTCAGTGTGGTTGACCGGTGCGACGCTGGCCCCATCCTCTTCCTGCAGGGTTTCGACTTTCGACACAAACACCAAGTGACAGCACCATTCCGGCTGCATCATACTAAAAGGTATCCCGTTAAAATTTTTGTAAAACTCCGCAACAGACTCGGGTGTACGGAATGTTATCAACGCCATGTACTGGTTCGGCGAGCCGTCTTTGATTATCCTCACGTGCTTGATATCCTCTCGACAAGGCGCCATGAAGCATAGTAAATCGGTGCAGGTCATCGTAGTCGGAACCGCAAGTATGCACACAGTCTGACTGCGATTGGCCGCTCTGTCGATTCCTGTCAAGTCGTCTTCCTTGAACAAGTGTATTATACCGGTCGTCTTCTCGACGAAAGGATTACCGGAGACGAACGGTATCACGTCCTTACCGTCGACCTTCTCAGAAGTCTCGGACATTTCTCTCAGATGGAGTGTCTCGACGGAAATATCACATTTCCTTCTCTTACCTCTGAATACGGCCAAAGTCCTGTTCACCTTTTTACCCCGTCCCTCTTCACGGGGCTTGTCATCTTTTTCACACGACTCTATTCGAATAACACAGAGTGAAACATCAGAAGGCATAACATAAATAATCTGTTTTCAGGACAATATGATTTCACGGGCTGCTATAACAACAACCCGATTATCACGACGTTAAACTGAATTGACATAGGTAGTAATTCAGCAATTTCGCAGCAACTCTGTCCATATACGTTCAAACTGCACAAGACCATAGTCATGGAGAATATTACGAAAAATTAAACCAAAAAACATCAATAAATCGCAATCGATATTATACAATAAATCGACACTTCACAACAAATTATAAAAACTATAAAACAATAAATAATATAAACTTTTTCAACAGTGTTCAACTAATAATTTCAAAAAATAATCTTAAGTTATGTTCTACTAACTTTTAAATTTAAGTTTTCAATCAAATTGTGTTATCAATTATCACTAGTGTGTTAAACAAGAGGTTTCGCTTCTGTTTCACTGATAGCCTTATCAATGGAAGTCCTGGAAGCAGGAAACACGTCTTCTGGAAATGGGATAAAACGGAGGGGTCTTTTCCTCATAGGAATTACTGGTAAGGCTTGTCACATCAAAAAAAAAAAAAAAAAAAAATAGTCCTGCTAGGATATTAATTTTGCCACTTTAATGCACAAAAGGACAGGACACAATGACAAGGATTAGTCGATTTGGTTGAAACAAAAGTTTAACTGTGACTGAATATGACTGGAACAACATTAAACCACATTGCAGGTTCAGTCATTTGTGAACTGTGGTAGCGATGACTCCCCTTCATTATATGGTTTGATTATGAGAAATTACAATTTATACATACAGACAAAAAAAAAAAAAAAAAAAAAAACACATTTCATTATCCATAATAACAAGTTATGAAGCTTAACAAACTTTTTAGCCAGCGGACCCCTTTCACATAACAAAATCCAGAGTGGACCCCGCGCATTCAATGTTAACATTCCACTACCCTAGAGTACTCAATATTCCTCACGTTATTTAAGGATAAGCTACCATGCATGCTAATAAATTACATTCGCTCATTCTACCCCATAGTACTCGATATTACTCTGGGTATTTGGGGATTAAGCTACCATCAACGCTAATAAATTACATTCGCACATTCAACCGCTATAACTGAGAGTACTTGATATTCCTTGGGGTAATTGGGGTTAAGCTACCATTCACGCTAATAAATTATGTTCACACTACCCCAGATTACTCGATATTCCTCAGGGTAATTGGGGATAAATCTCCATTAATGCTAATAAATTACATTTGAGCATTCACTCATTCTACCCCAAAGAACTCGATATTCCTTGGGGTATTTAAGTATAAGTTAACATTCATTCTAATAAATTACATTCACACTTTCATTCACACTACCGCAGAGTACTCGATATTTCTTGGGGTAATTGGAGATAAGGCACCATTGACGCTAATAAATTACATTCACACTTTCATTCACACTACCACAGAGCACTCGATATTCCTCGGGGTGTTTAGGGGAAATTTCTTGTTTTTAGTTAAATTTTGTGTATAAATATTTTTTTTACGAGTTCTAATTAATCAACCAATTCACGATTTTTTACCCCAATTTTTAATTCATATTTTCAATATTCATGCATAATAAATTCCATTGGTACATTCATTCACACTATCCTGGAGTACTAGATATTCCTCGGGGTGTTTAGGGGAAATTTCTTGTTTATAATTGAATCTTGTGTATAAATATATTTTTAACGAGTCTTAATTAATCAACCAAATCACTATTTTTTACCCCAATATTTAATTCATATTTTCAATATTCATTCATAATAAATTCCATTGGTACATTCATTCACACTATCCCGGAGTACTCGATATTTCTCGGGGTGCTTAGGGGAAATTTCTTGTTTATAATTGAATCTTGTGTATAAATATATTTTTAACGAGTCTAATTAATCAACCAAATCACAATTTTTTACCCCAATATTTAATTCATATTTTCAGTATTCATACATGATAAATTACATTGGTACATTCATTCACACTACCCCGGAGTACTCGATATTCCTCGGGGTGTTTAGGGGAAATTTCTTGTTTTTAGTTAAATTTTGTGTATAAATATTTTTTTAACAAGTTCTAATTAATCAACCAAATCACAATTTTATACCCCAATATTTAATTCATATTTTCAATATTCATTTATAATAAATTACATTCGTACATTCATTCACACTACCACAGAGCACTCGATATTCCTCTGGGTAATTGGGGGAAATTTCTTGTTTTTAATTAAATTTTGTGTATAAATATTTTTTTTACGAGTTCTAATTAATCGACCAAATCACAATTTTATACCCCAATATTTAATTCATATTTTTAAACTGTAGGCTATTTTATATAACAAATCGTATAAAATATTTTTTTTGGCCATTTCAATTCCTGAAGAATACTTAACGGAAGGCGGTATAAGGTCAAAAGTTAGCGATGATGGATGATTGTTCGCGTTTCTATATTGACCATCGCTAATAACTGCTCGCGTTATTTCAGTGTTTGGAGTTAGGAATTGCTCAGCTTGCCAAAGTTTCTTTTTCGCGTAAATGATGGATGCCCATGATACAGCCCAAGTTCTTGGCATACTGCTGTCTACCTTCCACGATGGTATACAGCAGTTTAGGACCACCCGAAGTCTTGATTGAAGAAAAGGTAATGGTCGACCATGTTGTACGGCAGCTAGAGATGATCGTTTTGTTGCACTATTGAACCATCATTAATCATAACAGCTTCTTTGATAGATTCCAATTCCAAATGGTTTGTAATGTAAAGGTTCTCTACTAGAGAGGCATCAAATAACTATTTGCAAATCAGCATCTCGCTTGGACACTTGAAAAATGTGGGGCTGTTCTCTTCATGAGTGCCAGTTTGGTATGTGGCAGTCAGATGACCTGGCCCAAGCATGGAAAAGAAGTAGAGATCGCTTGGGTCATAGCCTTTTCATACACAGTTAGTGTTTGATATTGGGTGGAATCAATTGATCGTACAGAAAGGATTTTTGGCTGCTGTAGGTACATTGAAGAAGTCCTTCTGGAAGCTCTGGTCCCACTTGTTTCATTGTTCATTTGAGGACAACTTCATGTTGATGCATGATAATGCTTGACATAATAGCCTGGAGCAGACAGAAGCAAGCAAAATGATTGGCTTTGTTGCAGTGGTTCATCCCTAGTTGAACCAATACTAAAGTGGTCATCACGGCTTTCTTCAAAAAGGCTGAGAGCCTCAGGCTGTTTTGACTAACCTGGTGTACAGTGTTCAGTACACAAATTAAGGGGAAATTCATCAATAACATAAATTACTTATAGTTTTTTGTAGGTGGTGCAGCTGTTGCTGTTTCTGCTCTGTGCTATCCTTTTCTATCTCCGGCACTGAGAAGAATATGCTTACCGTACGTTCCTGCGACCGGTGTGCAGGTCAGCAATGTTCTGAAAGCACTCACTGGAAAATCAGGCAGTCTTTTAGACATCGGAAGTGGAGACGGAAGAATTGTCAGTGTTAAATATTTATTTTCGGTTGATTTTATATACACTAGTCATTATTTCCTTGAAATATGTCTTACGCCATTTTGTTTGTAGGTCCTGGCCACTGCAAAACGGGGTTTTCAGTCGGATGGAGTTGAATTAAACATCTGGCTTGTCCTTTACTCAAAGTTTGCCGCATTTAAGGCTGGGCTGTCAAAGTCGACCAACTTTTATAGAAGGGATTTGTGGGCGTTTCCTATCCATTCTTATAGGAATGTTGTCATCTTCGGCACCGAAGAGATGGTAGAGCTCTTCTACTCTTTTCTTATTAATTTAATATTAAATATTTTAATCCATGTAGTACATATTTAGTAGCCATAATTGACCGTATTAATTTTTTAAATTAATTATAATTTTTATCTAAGATCTTGGTTGAGATGAAAAAGCTAATGTGATGAGTGGGATTCGAACCCACAACCTTCAGCTCAATGCCCAATGCTCAAACCGCTTGAGCTATCGTGACTTCGATCCACTTGGATACCAACTCATCTTGTGGGTTCAAATCCTGCTCGTGACACTACATCACTAAATTCTATTTTTTATTTAAATTTTTTATGGCCTTATGGGCTTGCATATTAACCAGAGTACATTCATAGTTGGTGGGGGAAGGATTGTTGAAAATAAGGGCAACAGTGAGAATCAAACCCATGACTGCGGGGTCTATGAGTCACCCTCACGCTGGCCACTCGGCTACCCTGGTCCTCAGCCAAGACCTTAGATAAAAAATATAATTAATTTAAATTAAATATTTTATTTTCAGATGGCGGACATTGAAGAAAAGTTTTCAAAGGAATTGCTCAACTCGAATGTGGTAGCGTGCAGGTTCCCTTTGCCCAACCGAGAACCAATCAAAACTATCGGTTCTGGCATTGATACAGTCTGGCTGTACGAGTTTAAAAAACCTACTGATAAACCAAGTTGAACATGCCATTTGCCATATATTTAAATAGTGTATTTGTGTTGTGTAAATATTTACATTGTGTATTTATAATAAAAACAATTTTTTTGTTACGTAGCCATTATTAGAATTATTGGATCCAAAATTCATTTCAAATTTAGTTAAAAGGTATATTCAAACATTTAACAAAAACCTCCAAATTAGGCTTCTTTCTACAAGTTTGATTGTTGTCTTTCATTAGTTGTACACATCGGGAGAGAAAAGATTCAAACTGTACGTAAAAAGAAAAATAATGTATGCTCTCCCAACTTTTTATTTATTTATTTTTTATTTAGTGATTATTATTATTATTTTTAACGAGGATATGTCAACTACTAGGTTATTGAATCTTGAGGTGCCAGTGTTTAAAAATAAAAATAAAATTTAAGTATGTCATGTTTGATTGCAGGCCACTGGATTTGAACCCAGGACCTGTAACAGTGTTGAGCGCTGTATCAATGTTATTGTTAATTGTTCTTTAACCATTGCGACCACCAACGCCTCCATTTTATTGATTTTGCATCTTTATTTATTATGGGGAGTTTTATTGAATTTAATCAGGAAGGCAAAATGCCAAAACAGACAGACTAGAATGATCAGTCATGACCAAATTTCAGGATCATTAGTCCTGCTGGTTTTGAGAAATTTCACAAAACATAATGAATATTTTTATGAATATTCTTTGACAGGGTTTCATTGAAATTCGTGACATTTAATCCAAGTACAGATAACCCGAAAAGTTCATACGGATTTTCATTTGCCATTGTTTCAATTGTCAAAATTTTGTATTTAATTTTTTTTTTAATTTTCATTTACATTTACTCCATGGTAATTTAAAAAAAAATAGTTGGTCCTGGCTGGCTGAGATCACTTGAGTTCAGACGGAGTGTGCTCCTATTCCAGATTGGAATCAACTGATCACTTCTGGGGTGAGTATTTGATCTTGACTGACTTTTGATTTCCAAATCATCCCATTTTATACCAGTTGGTCTACCAGAGTAGGGGTGGAAAGGAAAATCAAAAGTCAGAAGTTCCCACACCATGGGTGGACCAGTGAAGATGGGTGTCGTGCACCTGGTTGATGGGATCACAATTTATGATGTTTCATGTTGCTACATATTTTTGGCTTTGTGACAATCTTTCAGCACTATATAACTCAATATTGGTTTATTTGATTTGTTGTTCAAATATTGAAACTTTTTTTCCTGGTTTGTGAGGAACATGTCACTCCTATCTTGGTGTGTGACACATTTCATTTTTATTGTAACTGTTTAATATTGCTGGGCTATGTTTCCTTGTTTTGGGAGGAATGCCACATCACTCCCGCCTGGCTCTGCGACACCCTTCGACCAACTGCTTAACTATTACAATGTTACGTTGGTGAGGTTATGTTCCTTCTGATTTTTTTTTTATGATCTATGGTTATCGTAAACAATTTTTTCTTTCTTTAACAACTAGAACTAACAAATAGGTTCATCAATGAATATACCCATGTGTAGGTGTTTCCTCAGATATCAGTATTCACATTTGTCAAGGTCTGTACTCTCAGGGATGCCAATCATCGGACAATATCAGGCCTACTCAAGTCACCACCACCCTTGAGTGTTTCTGTAAGAAAGCTTTTAAACCAGTTTTTATATTTTACATAAGACATCAATATTAGCACATCAGGCAAGAGTTCACAAAAGCCCAGATATACCATGTGTATTCCTCTCCATCCTAAATTGAAAACATTCCGTTAGGTTAGGTGTTATTCTCGACGATGTATTGGACCAGCACTGGGTAGCCCTTAGGTTTACACTGAAGACAGACAGTGCTTCATTGAATAAAGCTGAAATGCATTTGGGACCCATCATAAAGTCACAAATGTAAACGGCCCAGTGCTGGTTCAAAAGATTTGCAGACCAAAACCCACCATCATCTATATTCTATAATGAATATTGTTATTCATTCTAGAATCATCTATGATTATTTGTTATTTAAACTTAGATACTGTATTTTATATTAGTTTGAATGTTAAATTAAACTCATTAGTTTCGTGGTCCGCTTGACCAATTAATATCTTACAATTAATTAAGGTTTTCAGTTGAGATAAAAAAGTCAATGGCACGAGCGGGATTCGAACCCACGATCTTCGCCTTGATACACCGCTGCTCTACCACTTGAGCTATCGTGACCTCAATCCACTCGAACACCAACCTCCCATCTCAACCACACCTTTTGAATTTTCCCTCCTTTTTGACATTGTTCAAATGTCGTGTAATCAATTTGATTCCTTTATCTCAACTGAAAACCTTAATTAATTGTAAGATATTAATTGGTCAAGCGGACCACGAAACTAGTGAATTTAATAAGTTTAAAATGAAGTATACTTCACTAAACCTCTCCGTGGCCATTTCATTTGTCACAATTGATTACACGACATTTGAAAAATGGCAAAAAGGAGGGAAAATTCAAAAGGTGTGGTTGAGATGGGAGGTTGATGTCAGAGTGGATCGAGGTCACAATAGCTCAAGTGGTAGAGCAGTGGCATATCAAGATGAAGATCGTGGGTTCGAATCCTGCTCATGCCATTGACTTTTTTATCTCAACTGAAAACCTTAATTAATTGTTAAATTAAACATGGAATATTAAAAAAAATTGTTTATTTTAGGATTATAATTTTTTGTGAGAACAATAATTAATAGACTAAAAGTATCACAAAAATATATTTTCTATAAATAAATATGCTTTGTTTAGTAATACATGAAATTCAATTATAATTATTATATAAAAATATAGTAAAGTAATATAAAGTGTACGCAATATAAAAAAATAAAGTATAAATCAACTAAAATACTAAAAAAAGATTGTAGAAAAATATCAGCTATGATATTTACATTATTTTAGATTTAAAATTGAACTTAAAAAGAAATTAGTCGGTGACAAAGAATTGCCCCAGTAGATTCACACCTCCAAAAATGGGAATGCTCAGGTAAAGGATCCAGGATCCTATAGAGATCTTGTCATTTTTGTAAAGCGATGCCAATCGCAGCATGCAAGGTATTGTGAATACATGTACGAGACCACTTAATGCGCCAGTAAATCTAAAAATGACAAAATGTACTTGCGTTCTTGTAAAAAAAAAAAACAATAACCTTTTAGTCTTACCTTATGATGGTGCCTATCTTCGGTAGGAAGATGGCGAAGATTATACAGATTGCTACGATCGCAATATTAAATATTAAGACGTAAAGCCGACTCGGGAAAGGATTCCCGGTTATAGCCACCATTGTCTGCGACCTCAGCATGAAAGAAATAAGTGGGAAAACTGTCACTAATTGAAACAGTAGGAAGACCCGAGCTATCACAGTCATTAGGTCCCAACTTGCAAAATTGTTGAGGAAGTTCTATAAAAATAAAAAAAACCTAGTATGATTTTATCTTCTTATCTTTTTCGCTTTTGATTAGTAAATTTAAAAAAGCTGATTATGAATGTATTAGGTAAAAATTTGTATTTACATCTCTTATACAGGATTTTTCCAATGGAAATGCTATGTAAAAAACAGCTCCAATTAACAGATAAGTCATCGTGACTAGGCCGTATGCAATGGTAAGGTCTCTTCCCTATAAAAAAAATCAGAAAATTAAAGTCACCAGGATGTTATAAAAAATAAACTCAATAGGGAAAAACAATTCACATTATTCTTTTGTTCAGCATTACTCCTCATTATTGTTATGATGATGTTATGGATGAAAAATGAAAGTGCGAGCATTCCTGAAGTGGCTGGAAAGCTCGACACGATGAGCGGGCTGAAGTGGAAGCTCTTTGGGTCCAAGGAAAGGTTGACACCCCACATTCCAGATTTGACGAGAACGAAGAGGATGAGGTACATCACAGACATCGTTCCTAAATTACCAGCGATTAATTAAATTTCGTGTATCAATTTTTAATATTATTTTGTCACAAAGGAAAAAAATTGTGTTCCTTGAATTTTTGACAAAATTTATTTATGTTGACCTAAAATCGATTAAAATTCAGTTACCTAAAGAGTTGAATTTTGTGAAGAAAGTGGGACTTTTGAAGTTGAGAAGTGGGAAGATAAGGACAGCCAGGAAGATTGGTACCGTCATCTCGATGTTCCATATCTGTTGGAATAAGTTGGTGCTCTGCACGGTGACATTCTCCACTGGGTTTTTCAACGGGCAGAAAACTGAAAGAATACTCTTCAATTTAGCAGCTATTTTGGAAAGGAAATGAGGATAAAAATGAAAAATTGTCACACCTCCAGACAGGGAAGAAGAGCTGTTGTTTGTATGGCTTTCCACTGACAAGTCTAACATCATATCTGTAATTTTTACATACATTATGTAATCTGAGATAGTTTGTATAAATTAAAAAAAAAAAATGTGATAGCCATCTGATGAATAAATGGTATTCAAAGACACTAAAACTTAAAAGAAGTGAGAAGGGGGTTTCATTGGCCTCTATAATTAAAAATGTAAACAAAATGGAATTCTTTGTCTAATGAATAAAAAATATTTGTAATGATGGCCACGATCTGCCTGCCAACTTACCATTGAGATAGTTGATGGAGTGAAAAAGAAAGTTGGTCATCAGAATCCAGTAGACGATGTTAGCACCCATAAGGACAATCAGGGAAAACGTCTTTGCGATTATTTCGCTCACTGGGCCCAATAGCGTTCTGGTCAGCTCAGAAACATCTCCTGAAGCTGTGCCTGAAAGAAAACAAGAACATGTAAATTTATGGTTAAATTGTCTAGTAGCATATCAACGTTAAGACTTAATGCCATTTTGGGAAGTAAAGTGACTTTTTATAATGAAAAAGAATAAATTTGTTTCAATAACCAGATTACATACTGCTGAGATTTTTGTCAAAAAATTACAAATGTGTCTTGGCAATTTGATCTTCACAATTTGAGACTTTAATAACAATAAAAATTGATTAAATCCCTCCCTTACCAAATTGTCTGTGAGCTCTGAGATTGCAGTAGGCTGTGTAGAGGCATAAGGCTCCGACGAAGATGGTCAGCAGAGGACCCATGAGAAGCCCTGCTCTTTCGATCCCCCAAGGCATCGCCAGCAACGAGGTGCCCATCATCGTATTCCATACCGCAAATCTGTAAACAAATTAAAAAGCTATAAAACTGTCAGTTGTGTTCTGGATTTGTGTGATTATCATTAAAACAGAACGAAAAAATAAAACCTAATGTACTGGACTGTAGAAAACTATTGAAATGTACACCAAAGATGCGACACACAAATACGTTGAACCTTCTTCCCGACTACCAAAAATTTTGGATATTCGCAGAGGTCAGCCAAGCCAAAGTATTAAAAGGAAAATAAAAAGATCAGACTATAAGTTCATCGCCCTGCAGATCCTAGGAGGATTTTATTTTAGTTTTAGCCAGCAAAGTACAACTCTCTCTTCTCTAGCTTTGCATTTCTTTTCTTATCTTTCTCGCGTTTTAATCTTACTAATTTCTTTTCCTGTTTCTCCAGCTGGGTTACGATATTTTTTGGTACAACAGTACCCAACTCTATCTTTTTTTATCCCATTTTTATCCCACGCTAGCCTCTCTGTACCTCAGGGCTTTGCCAATTGTGGATAAAATAAGACAAATAACAAAAAAAAATACGCAGAAACAATATAAAAAACATTATAGTCTGGTAAACATTCACCCAAGAGTATTCGATATTCCTCGGGGTAATTGGGGATATGCCCTTCCATTCACGTTAATAAATTACTTTCACACACCAGACAACATTCACACAACCCCAAAGTACTCGATACTAATCGAGGTAATTGGGGCTAAACCTCTCCATTCACGCTAATAAATTACCCCATAGTACTCGATATTCTTAGGCGGATTTAAGGATAAGCTACCATTCACGCTAATAATTACATTCCCACATTTATTCACTCTACCACAGAGCACTCCTCTGGGTAATTGGGGGAAATTTCTTGTTTTTAATTATATTTTGTGTATAAATATTTTTTTTAACGAGTATTAATTAACCAAATATATATTTCATACCCCAATGTTTAATTCATATTTTTAAACTGTATGCTATTTTATATAACCAGAATAAAAAATATTTTTTTATGTCATTCAATTCCTGAAGAATAGTTAAAGGAAGGCGGTATAAGGTCAAAAGTTAGCGATGATTGATGATTGTTCGCGTTTCTATATTGACCATCGCTAATAACTGCTCGCATTATTTCAGTGTTTGGAGTTAGGAATTGCTCAGCTTTTCGCGTAAAACAAGGGAAAATAATGGTCGGCCAAATTATTAATTATAAATGTTTTATTTTGGGACAATTGTTCTATTTTATCTTGGAATGAAGATTTTGCCGTTTGTACATCGGTACCCGAAAGGGGGCGGCGGAGCCGGGTTGGTTGAACGTCCGCTTAGATTGATCATCCCTCGTGGCGCAACCCTCGCCCCTTCCGGGTTCGCCGACCCCGACAACTTTTATCCCAACTTCATCTCAACGCTGAATGACTCCACTTCGCAAACTGTCCTAATCTCCCGCTGGACCAACTCCTCTGCAGTGCTGTCAAGTTGCCGTTGCAGGTGCTACTCGGCTGGCCAGCTTTCTAAACGACTTGTTCCATTTTTTTACGCTAAAATTTAGACAACCAGAGATGGTTTAAAGACATCAATCTTACATAATTGATATCTATCCATCTCCGAACTAATGAGTATGGCTTTTATTTTCAAATTTAAAAGATTTCACGCCATCTGATTCGCAAATTAAAACGGTGTAAATCATTCATAACCGTATCCTCCGGTTAATAACAAATGCTCCGTGGTATATTCGGAAACTATGCACAAAACCTTGGACATTCCTAACGTTAAAACGGTGATTAAAGACGTCAACGGCAACCCCCAACCAACTGATGCAAGAAATTGCCCAGAACCAACCAACTCCAAGATCACAAAGACGATTGAAAAGGAAGACACTCCGACCTTCTACAATCCTAAACTCCTACTTATTACTGTTAAATAATTAATTACAGCAACTTTTATCATTACCAAATTCATTAATAATCTTATTAAGTGAGGGAACGCCGCTGTGCGTTTGTCTTCACTTCATGTTTCAAGTCATATTTTTTGTTTTTTAAAAATATTTTCTTTAATTAAACAAATTTGAGTAAAAAATTAATAATTTTTTAAGCCTCGAAGATCCTGCCCGGGTAGGTACTTTGGCCGACGATGGACGTAGCCCAAGTTTTGGGTGTACAGCACTTGGTCTACAGCGGTTTAGGGCCACTGGAAGCCTGGATCGAAGTGAACTGACATTTATAGGCTTCTTTGATAACTAGTCGATTCCAAATTCGTAATGCAAAGGTGAGCGTCGTGAGAATTAGCCTAGTCTCTAGACGTCACGCATCAGGTTCTCTACTAATGGAGATGCATAAAATAAATACACTGATGGATAAATTTAACGCACCACTCAATTTAGTTTAAAATTAAATCCATTATCTTCCTCCATTAAGTCCATTAGTTACAGGCAATTAGGAGCTATCGAAGTCACAGCAAATAATGGTTTGTTTACTTACTTTGTTTCCTTTTGTATTGATTAATCCCATTTGTACAAAAAGTGCGATTATGCCCTTCCATTGTGCTACGCCTAAAGATCGCTTTTAGTTCATCTTTTTCCTTCTTTGATGTCATTTGATATTATTCTTATTATTAAACCTTTTTCAATGGCTTTAGTTAGGCATTTGAGTCAGTATGGCATTGGTACGGTCATAACATTATTAGAGGAAGGATACAGCCAGCGCGAAGTCGTCAGTTGAGTTTAAGTCACTATAACAGGAAGGGTTCTTCGGCACTTCAGACTTCAGAGAAACAGGGCTTCATTCTAGAATGTCAGGACAGGGCCGACCTAGGTCTACAGACGAGAGAGATGATTGATTTATCCGTCATCAGGCTCTAAGAAACCGCAGCATTACGGGAAATGAGATAAAAAATAGTCAAGTCCGAAATGTTTTGATTTCCTCTTGGACTATAAGAAGAAGGCTCGATGAAAATAACCTCTGGGCCAGGCAACCGGTTTGTGGACTTCTTGTCACAGCTATATGACCTGGCTTCAAGTCGTAAAGGAATATGTGATTTAGTCATTGGAAGATTCGGGACGATTACAGATGACGTAGGAGTTGGCCTCAATCTTCAGATGGGCGTAATTTCATACGGGACGCTCAGGAGAAGGCCCCAAGCTGTATAGTTCCATGATGGAATTGAGATGGCATTTCCTTGGATGACCGCATCGAATTGGTTGTAGGAGAAAGATTTCTAACACTTACAAGACAATCGAAAAACATGTAATGCCATTTGCCCCCACATCGGTGAGAGATTCTTACTAATGCAGGATAATGTCAGGCCCTATAGAACACGTATTTTGGATGACAACATGAATGAGGTTGGAATTGAACGATTGGTGTGCTCAGCTCGAAGTCCAGATTTGAACCCAATCGTACACACTTGGGATCAACTCAAGGGTCGAAACCCAGGTCCTTACACCCTAAAAGAGTTGGAAACGGCTGTTCTTGATGAATGGGGAAGAATTCCTAAGCATTTGACCTGAAATCTTTTCCAAGGAATGCTTTTTTGGTTTAATTTAAGGGCAGTGCGTTAATTTTATCTATCAGTGTAGTAAGGCATTCGCAAATCAGCAACTCGCTCAGACACTTGTACAGTGGGGGCGATCTCTTCATGAGTGCCGGTGTGGTTTGTGGCAATCAAATGACTGAGACCGTGTTGAGAAGACGTGGCTTTGTTTCATATACAATGCTTGATTCACAGGTTTTCAAATATAGTTATGGTATGGGGTAGAATCAACGTGCATGCCTATACGGAACTGATTATCACACAGAATCGATCTTTGACTGCACGGTACATCGAGGAAGTTCTTCTGGAAGCTGCGGTCCTATTAGCTTCATTTATTGGGAGTTTATGCTTGTAGCTCGACATGTGGGGATTACCATAATGAATTGATCAGGATGTTTTTCTGACATGAATCCCATAGAGCATGGGACATCATAAAGAGAAGGTTTGACATCGTTCGCCGGCTCAACAAGCGTCGAACAGCTTCAAACCGTTCTTGTTGAAGAGTGGAATTCTGTTTCACAAGACGAGAAATTAAATAATTTTTTATTAAAACTCACGGATTTCCGATCTAGTTCAATTTGGTCTACATAATTAAGATGTGATTAATATAACTATAAAAATAAGGATAGGGGCGTCGGTGGCCGCAACGGTTTAGGCGTTCACACGGAGTTCATCACTGTAAGGAAAAGGTCCCGGGTTCGAATCCAACAGACCTGCATTCTGACCCGACATACAAGTGATTTTTTTCAAAAACACCGCCATCTCGAGGATTTATATAACCTTTGCTGTTGCGAACCCTCGTAAAAAGGAAAAAAAATAAGGGACCGCGGTAGTCGATTGGTTAGCGTGATAATCTCTCTAGACCTGCGGTCGTGGGTTCGATTCCCACTGTCGATCCTGGCCTTTTTTGTTCGATACTCTTCCCAACCAACTACATTGAAACAATCAACTACTTAACTACATACTCTGTCAATAAGCCAGTTCATAATAAAATACAATTCAAATGACACTGAGCAACCTGCCAGCTTTTTTATTGTTTATAGTCTAAGAACGAAATCTATGATATAAGAAAATTGGATAGTACAAACAAGTAAATAATGAACACGGCATGGGAAGCAATCAAGGGCTGAATTTCCTTCTAGCGAGCAATTCTGACTCTGATGCCGACGTTAATTTGTCTAATCTTCCCTGAATCGTTCTTGAAACTTTAAGTACCGTCGAAGTGAGTTAATTAAATAGAAGAGACTTTTTCTGTTTGTCAGATTGAATCCATGAACCAATTTTAACTTGTCCAAACTGCCCTCACCAAGGATCCCGTGATTGATCTGGCTGGGATCAACTTTTTAATTCTACCGCCAAGTCCCGTCAATGACTTGTAGTATTGTTTCCCTTAATTAATTTCAAAAACTAATCCTAGTGGCGCTAAGATGATGAAAAAAGCTATATAATTTAGTAGTTAGCTGATATGAACATGTAGAGCGTTAGTAAGCTTTTATTTTAA